TCGCCAAAACACTGGAGGAGATCAATTACATCTTTGAGATCACCTATGCGATGACCCGCCAATGGATGGTCTCAGTGGGACTGATGTTGGCGGACCAGAAGATGGAGGCCGTGTTGATCACGAGCAGGCAGAAGATTGAAACCATCACGCTGCGAGTTGGGGACCATGAAATCACCTCCCAACCATCTTTACGGTACCTGGGAGTGATGATTGATGCCCGGCTCAGTTTCAAGCAGCAGGCAGAGCACGTCGGTACCAAGGCGTCCGGAGTTGGGACTGTCCTGTCACGGCTCATGGCCAACATCGGAGGCCCAAAGCGGAAGAGGAAAGCGTTACTGTCGTCGGTAACTACCATCTGGGCTGATGCGCTGCTGATCCAGCATGCACGACGGAATGTGGCGTCGGTCTATCGGCTGAGCCCCCTCAGAGTAGCCAGTGCATTCCGCACGGTGTCGGAGGATGCCGTGTGTGTTATCGCCAGAATGCTGCCGATCGGAGTACTGGCGGAGGAACGAAGATGCCTCTACCGGCGGAAGGGGACAACAACACTTGGAGCAGCTGAACTGAGGATGGACGAGAGGACCAACAGCCTGCACCGATGGCAGATGCTGTGGGGGGCTTCGAGCAAAGGGAGATGGACTCACCGCCTGATCCCGCAGGTGGACGTATGGATGAAACGAACCCACGGAGAGGTGAACTACTACCTCACCCAGATGCTATCAGCACACGGGTGCTACCGGGCTTATCTTCACAGGTTTCCCCACGAGGATTCCCCGGAGTGCCCGACCTGCGTTGGAGTCTCCGAAGACGCGGAGCATGTGTTCTTCGTGTGCCCGCGCTTCAACGCGCCTCGCAGCGCTCTCGAGACTACAGTAGGAGGGAGGATTCAGCCTGGAAATCTGGTGAAAACTATGCTTTCATCAGAACCAGCCTGGGAAGCGACCAGCACCTTTGCGGCGGAAGTCCTGTAGGAACTACGCCAAGCTGAACAGGAGAGAAATAAAGATAAGAGGAAAAAGAAGAACACGTAAGAGGAAGGACGCAATGATTTCGATTATCTGAAGGAGGAGCTAAGGCTGAATCCTCCCCCCGCGCTGTAGTGCCTCCCGGCGATTCCACGGGGAACGAGAGGCAGATGTAGAGGATGTTTTTTTAGTCGGTACGGGTTGCATATTCGCTGAAACAATACATGTCAGGTCTCACCAACCATGGCGTTTCGAGGTCAATACCAACACAAGACCTGACCAATCCCGATACTGCACTCCGGAAATCTTCATCCCGGACCCAAGTGCGTACGTAAAAAGTATTTTTTTACACCTCTATAAATAAAAAAAAAAAATCTCTCTCTCTCAGCATATGTTTCAAAGACTGTTCTGTGAAAATGGTGTTTTGTCAGTTATAATTGACGTTTGAATTTAACAATTGATATCACTTCGTGCCTTGCAGTCGACAGAAATGTCTTTTTTAGTAAGTAGCGTGGTCTGTGCGCGGTAAAAACTACATTTTTGTGAAACCTGATGGGTACGAAAACCTAACCCCACATTGCACTGAGTGACATGCTGCATAATACTTCTGTCAAGTGCTGCAAGTGCCGTAAGGTCACTATGTATGGGAAACAGTGGAGTGTAGAAGGTGCCTAAAATATTTTCATCCCGGATGTGCCAAAATCCATAAAGCTTATAATAATAGTGACGAGTTGGTTTTTTGCCACGGAGAAATTGTTGTGGTACCAGCGCTATCATCAAAAAGTAACAAGCACATGGTTGCTATGGATACGCAGAACATTGTTAGTGCACAAACTCAAATTAATGCCAATGATCCAGTTGAATCACATGAAAATGTCCCACATATTATTGGGAATGACCCATGTGACAGTACCCCTCAAATAAATGAAAGTGGTACACTATCAATTGTTGCATCAGCACATGGCAATAATAGCATTGAAACCCAACAATTAATATCGTACAATAAAATGAAAATTGAAAAATCTCCCCAAACTAAAATGAGCCATGACAATAAAAACACCAAGCAAGCAGCAAAAACAAAAAGAAAAAGACAAACAATCCAGAGTGTAGAGAGTGATGAGGATAGTGAGAGAGAGAGAGAGTACTCTGTATGTATCTGACAAAATTGACAAGTCAAGTGAACAAATCAGTGAACTGAAACAGACAAGAATAGATCAAAATACCTTCAAAAGTGCTGTGAAATCTGTTTTAAACAGTGAATTGTCAGTACTCGAAAAGAAACTAAGTGCTGATATTAACTTATTGAGAGACGAAGTGAATAAATTGCATAATATGATGAAGGAGCTCATGATGTCGAGACACCCAGACGTAACCCCCAGGATGAACCGAGATTGCAGTTTGAAGAATGGTGCCAGCAAACAACAGCAACCACCTACATACTCTGATGTAACAACAAAACAATCGATAAGACTGAAGGATAATGGTCCTAAAATTGTTATCAAACCCAAAAGCTCTGTAGAATCTAAGGTAACTGAAGCTGCGATAAAGGATCAAATTGATATCACGAACCTTGGAATTAATACATGTGTACTCAAAAAAGCATCAAAAGGTAAAATTGTAATAGGTTGTCAGGACGAAAAAGATAGAAAAAAATTAGTTGAAGTTATGGAAAAGAAATTGAGTAATGATTATTCAGTAGTCATCCTCAATAAATTAAGACCAAAGATCAAAATTACAAATGTTAGTAGTGACTATTATGAGAAAAATAATGAGAATTTGGTTCAGGAAATTATCAAGCAGAATAAATTAAATTCAATGGAGCAGGTATATGAGATAAAAATCTTGCATAAATGGGTTGATAACAAATATAAAAACATGTCAGTAGTTATAGAGGTCAACGATTTCCTTCATAAAATGATATTAGAAAAAGGCTCATTGTACATTGGATGGACTAGATGTAGAGTCTATGAGTATGTAAAAATGGTACGTTGCTTCAACTGTTGGGGCTTCCATCATTTAGCAAAAAATTGTAAGAAAGGAACAATCTGTGGCAAATGTGCAGGTACTCACTCAACTAAAGAATGTGTTAGTAATAATTATAAATGTGTTAGTTGTCTGACTCATAAAAACAAGCTTCAATTATCGGATAATGCGACTGAACATCATACAAAAGATAAAATCTGTCCTTCCTACAAACATTTTTTAAACAAATACAGGGAAAGGAATTTCGTAGCTTCTTAACTAAAATGGACAAAAAAGACTCGAAAAATGTTAGTCATTCACATGAATGCCAGAAGTTTATTAAAAAACAAAGATGAAATAGAAGAATTAATAGTTAGAATAAAAAAAACGTCAATAATAGCTCTCACTGAAACCCGTATTACCAGTGAAATAGAGAATACAGAGATATGCATCCCTGGTTATAAAACTATTCGTTGCGATTCAGAGAAAAGAACATTAGGAGGTGCAATACTTTACATAAAAAGTGATATTGAGTACAAACTTATTTTTAATGAAAAAATTGTGAATAATTGTTGGTCTATCGGAGTAAAGATTAATAATCATATATTTAAGGGAGTTATAATACTGACTTATAACTCACCTAATGCGAGTGATTCAGAATTTTTAAAACAGATCGAAGAATTGTGTGAAAGTGTTAGGAACGAACCAAAGCTAATTTGTCTTGGTGATTTTAATATTAATGTTGACGAAAATAACTCATACTATAGGAATAAATTAATCAATATGTTTTTAGGTTTAGGAATGAAACAATTTGTAAAAGAGCAGACGAGAATTGACGAAAAATCATCTACGACTGTTGACTTACTGTTTTGTAATTATGATATCTTGGTACAGATTTTGCACACACCGAAAATCACTGATCATGCAATAGTTCAATTTGAAATGAAGAATAGTAGGATTGATAAGAGATATAATGGAATACAGATTAAAAAACGTAATTTCAAAAATTTGGACGCTGATAGGTTCAAAACAAAATTGAGAGATCATATATGTAAAAACGTAAGAGCTAATACAGGAAGTGATCTGGAATACAACGCAAACACAATTATTGATGGAATCATAGAAATATTAGATGATGAAGCCCCGATGAAAACGATAATAAAGAAAAATAACATGAAAGATAAAAAGTGGTTTAATGAAGAAATTAAACAGCATATTGAGGAGAGACAAAAGTTATTCCAAATTGAAGAAGAACAGAAGAGAAATACTGTAATTAAAGAAATTAGAAAAACCAAAATGAATTACTATGAGAGAGAAGTAGACTTTAATAAGAACAATAGTAAAAAAATGTGGAAAACTCTAAAAATGGTTATGAAGGGTAATATTGATAGTGAACTGCCAGATCAATTAGCTCTTAACGATCATGCAGTCAAAGGGGATTTTGAAATTGCTAATGCACTTAACAATTACTATATAGATAGCATTAGTGAAATTATAAATAGCATCGAACAGAGAGAAGTAGTTGTAGATGGAATAGAATATGACTATAAATTTGAAAAGTTCCATTCAATTTCAGCAATTATCTTCAATAAAATTGTTAAAGAGTTAGCAAATAAGAAAGGAATCAGTGAAGGTATATCCACAAAAATAATACAATTAGCTAATGAATCTGTGACCTTCGTAAAATCATGAACCAGTCGATGGATGACGGGTGTGTTCCGAGTAAATGGAAACATTCGGAAATCATACCTATTCCTAAAGTAAAAAATACAGTTAAAGTCGAAGAATTGAGACCTATAAATGTACTCCCTCAATATGAAAACATTCTAGAAAAAATCGTCGCAAAGCAATTGATTGATTATTTTGAGAATAATCAATTATTTCTTGACGAGCAGTATGGTTTTCGACGAAATCGTTCATGCGAAAAAGCAGTTCAACAGCTGATATCTGACTGGAGGGAAAATATTAGTAATGGAAATATTGTGGGAGTGATATTTATTGATCTAAAAAGAGCATTTGAAACAGTTGATCGAAAACTATTGTTAGAAAAAATGAAAAAATATGGAATAAAAGGCAAGGTTTGGGACTGGTTCCACTCATATTTATCTGGTAGAACACAAACTACGTTCTGTCGATCTGGTAAATCGGAAACAATGCAAGTAACGACAGGAGTCCCACAAGGTTCTGTTCTGGGACCTATATTGTTTCTGATTTACATAAATGATATTGTGCGTATGAGTCAACAAAAATGCCAAATTAGGTTATTTGCTGATGATATGGCTATTTTTATACATGGAGAAAGTTCTAAACAAATAGAATTGCAGCTCACTTTGTCTTTACACGCATTAAAAAATTATCTGGAAGACAATAAACTAAAAATTAATATTATGAAAACCAAATTTATGTTAGTACGTCACCAAAGACAAAAAAGAGGAGAAAATATAAAAATACGCAGTAAAGATGGTACAGAATTGGAAAAAGTAACACAAATGAAATATTTGGGAGTAATAATTGACGAGTATCTGTCATTCAAACCACATCAAGAGTACTGAGTTAAAAAAATAGAGAAAAAAAAAGGAGTTTTGAACCGTTTGGGGAATGAATTGAGCATAATGGCAAGAAATATGATTTATAAAAGCATAATAGCACCTGATTTCGAATACTGTTCCACTATCATATTGACGATGAACCAAACAAGTTTGAATATACTACAAAAAATGCAAAATCGAGCGATGCGGGCGATCTTACATTGCAGTAAACGCACCAAAATAGAAGATATGTTGAATGCCCTCGGTTTTATGAGTGTGGAACAGCGTGTGAAATATAATGTAGTGAAGTATGTGCGAGGTATGAACGTGGAGCGTGTAAAAGAAACGAGAGAGGATGCAAGAGTGACAAGACAAAGAACAGATGTTCCAGTGCAGCATATGCGTATGAGCTATGGTCAAAATGATGTCTTATATAAAGGTGTGCGGCTATACAACGCCATTGCGAGAGAGATAAAGAATCTGTGTGACAACGGCTTCCGCCGGAAAGTGACATCGTATATAAAGGAGAAATATCCGCTGAAGGTTACCTAATACGAAAGAATTGTAAAAAGGAAATGTAGCGAGGAATCGCAGAAAGAAATGTAGCAAAAGCTAATAAAACCAATCAATCTTTCCTCTCTCTCTCTCTCTCTCTCTCTCTCTCTCTCTCTCTCTCCCTCCCTCTCTCTCTC